GCTTTTCCAGCTCAGTTAATCTGGACACGTCCCAAGCTAACATTTTAAAACGCATTCCTTTTCTTTATAGCAACTTTTACGGCCGCTGAGGCCTCGGGGGGATGCGATGTGGTCCAGTCCGACGTCCCCCCGATCCCGATTATTTAAACACCAACCTTTGTTGGGAATATTTACGGTTGGCATAGAAGTAAGAGAGTAGAAAGAAGAAAGTACGTAAACTGTTTCTTATTGCTTTTGTTGTTGTCCCTCAATCCGTTCATCTGTCCATAGAAAATGATAAAAGCATTTTTTATGCATGACTTTTTTCATGACTTCAATTTTGGGACAATTGTGGCCCGCGAGTCAAAACGTTTTTCCCCCCAAGCCCGATCTAGGCTGGAACGACTCATTATGTTGCTTTTTTTTGGATAATATCGATGGTTTCTATAGACACAATGACGTTATTAGGCAGATCACCCTTAAAGGCCGAGGTGCGAAATACATGGCGCGCCACTCTATATATTATATATTTGGTTTGTTGAATTGATTTAACGGTACTACTCGATGCACTTTCCTGGTCCCCGTAAAAGGCTCTAAGGGCATGTTCACATGGTGATAAAAAAAACAGGCGTCAGTCTGTTTGTTTTAACACCTGAAGGCGTCTCGGTGTGAAACCACGTTGAATTTTATGTACCACTTTCCTTCGCCATAAATCTCGTTTCGCTTTCTTTTGGCGCCCGGCCACAGACACCTTGACTCTGACGTCATTCGTTAGAAGATTCATAAAACAAAACCTGCTTACGAAAATGTCCGAGGCCATGACTTAAAAGTGAAAAATTGCCCCACAATCAAGTGCAACCGTATACCAAGCACAAGGATGTGTCTGGAGCTGGACTCCCCCATCGCCGCTGACCTGCGGCTTCAGGAATGTGTGTCCTCCAGGGGGGAGGAAATGTGCAGACCGTTTCTATCGGCTGAGCTCCAGGCCGTTCTGTAACCGAGCTAAAAGCACAACCCATAGGAATTCTGTCGGTGATTCTGCCTCTAACGTTACTAATGTGCACACTGAGTGGCTGAATATTTAATGATTTAATTACTTCAATATTAATATTTTTGAATTAAAAAATTAATTTTATTTCAGTTTAAAAACGGCTAACCTGAAGTGTGGCACTCAAGTTAATCGTTATATTGTCTGAGTAATTTTTTGTAGAATTTTTTTTTAAAGTTTTTTTTAAACTGACCCCTGCTGGCCCATATTCGTATTGCAGGTAAGACCAATATTTATTTTAGATATTCAACGCATTAATTTTGTACTTGCAAATGGTCTGCCATGTGTTCATAGGGGCTGTCAAGTTGGTGACCTCTGACCCAGGACATAAAAACATCAGAAGGGACATAGAAACTTGTTTTTTTTTCTATAACATTTGATTTATCATTATTCTGCCGTATTCCTGCAATACCGACATTTCCCCACTAGATGGCATAGAAAATGATTAAAAACATTTTACCACTTTAGCCTTTATGCATGACTTTTACATGTCATTTATCTTAGTTCACACGAATGCTCCATCTATCTGCTCCTGACCCGGCCCCCCTGTTCAATTTTATATATATATATATATACATATACATATATACATATATATACATATATACACATATATATATATATACATATATAGATATATGTATATATACATATATATGTATATATACATATATATACATATACATATATACATATATACACATATATATATATATACATATATAGATATATGTATATATACATATATATATATATACATACATATATATATATATACATATACATATATACATATATACATATATATACATATATACACATATATATATATATATATGTGTATATATGTATATATATATATATATGTATATATACATATATATACATATATATGTATATATATATATATATGTATATATGTGTGTGTATTTATATTTAGCAGTAAATATTCGAGAAACACTGGCGTACACCATTAAGAGTCCTAAAGGCACATAACTGCATTTTACAAGAATTATACAAGGATTGTATATTCATTTAAGCGCAAATAAAGTACTTCTCTCCCAATTACTCCTTTATCAAAAAAAAATTTCGATCAGTTCAGGACAAAATAAATCAATTAGTTCTGCTCTTCTTGTTGTTGTTGTGACATATAGCACAAAAAAGGGCTAGTGTTTCTCACGAAAGGACATGGAAATGTACATGTTTGTTATTTTCACACTGACAGCCGCTAGAGGGCACTCTAACAGGCTGGTGCAACGTTTTTGTTTTTTTTTTTCCCTTCTTCATTATGTACTTTTTGGCTGGTACAACATACGTATAGTCCAGAAGAAAAACGACAGTTAGGTCCTTGTTTTTGTCCCCAGATTGTTCAAATACAGCATTTTATGGTCAGTCGCGTTTGCTCGCCATAAACTTAGACTGAAGCTATTCTTTTCTATTCTGTTCTTTTGTATTCTTTTCCACAAAACGCTGAGCTTCTATAAAGTCGCCAGCCGAGGTTTGACACAGTAAATGTTGTAAATTGGCTTTATGTTTCACATATGAGAATTCCATCCGTTCAGGGCTGCCCATTTTCTGGCCCTAATGATGCAGTAAAAATCCGACCTGATTGGCTTTGTTTTCGTGTGACCGGCTCCCGCCGACCATGTGGACTTGCAGAATAGGGAATTTTCTCACCCACTGACCTCACTGGTAATGTAACGCCGACCTTTCGCAGAGCGTGATGTGAACCCATAAGATTTTTCCCTGATCCCACCTGGCCCCATTTGTAACGTAATGCTGTTTTTCTTAGCCCTAACCACTGCGTGTAAGCAAACACACACAGCACACTTCAGGCTAATTCCCCAGGGGATCAGGCTAAGTTATAGCGCTGTTACCACGCCCGCTGCTTCTTTTTGCTTCAAGATGAACTCGCTGTTCAAATCCGAGACAGATGCAGTCCATCTGCGGGGCTTGATGTGACATTTCTCGGTTCTTCGTGTTTCAGGTGGTTTGGCGGAAAAAATTTAAGGCCACTCTCAGCCAACTCCGTCTTTTTACGATTCCTTGCCAAGTGATTCCTAAATCACGTTTAATCGCATTGACACGCGCAATAAAACTTTATTTGCTCACAACGCCGGCCCTTCCAGTGACATCCACATATTTTTATATTTAGGTAGTTTTATTATTTCCTTAGAAACTGGAAGTTGGGGGCCCTGACTCGTAAAAAAAAAAAAACACCAACTCATGTTACATTATCTGAGCTGCCTACGAGAATAGGTTTTACATCTTACAGCCATTCCAACAACTTCAATCATTTCCTCTCAAGCTTTTTAATTGTTTTTTTTTTTCAGGGGTGTATCAATAGCAACGAGTCCATGTTTTCCTCCTTTGTTTTTATGCAAATAGAGGTTTATTAGAAAATATTAATATTCAATGAAATATAGTTTGACAAAATGTCACAAACATGAAGTGTTTGGGCTTTTTTTTTACTTTTAAAATGTATCAATCGGGCCATATTGAACCCCCGCAGTGGGCTGGATTTGGTCCACGGGCCTTATGTTTGACACCACTGTGAGATTCTCACTTTTCATGCCACATTGATGACACAAATCTGAGAAGAATGGGAAAAAAAGTAGTAGACAATGATGATATATTTTTGATATATTAAGTTATAATTAACTTTTGTTAATTAATTTATTAAATTAGTACATGTTACTAATGCAATCGGTATATAGTTCATGCTATCTACTAACACGTGATCTACCCACTTGCAGAGAATGACCTGAAAGTTCAACGGCTATGACAAGGCAAGGTGCACACTTAATGTTTGCTGCCATCTTCTGGCGATTTACGAGTACGTGCGTGACTCATACAAAAACGTATTCCACTTTTTCCTCCTTTGATACGGTAAGTGGGATTTAAAAACATAATTCATGTAATAGATAACATGTAATAGATTTTTTTAATGCTCTGTGTTTGCAGCAGTGTTGCATATGCATCCACAGGGGGAGCCAAAGTAAACGTCAGGAGGGAGATTGTGTTACACCGCTCTGGAGCGGAGGCGGTGAGAGTTTTAGGTTTCACTGCAAACTGTGAACACACCCCTGGGGAGCTCAGGTGGCTGGAGGTTGTACTTTACATGTGTTTATTTTATTTTACTTTTTTAAAAAAAAAAAAAAAAAAAAAAATCTGTCCTTTGCATTTAACACCTCACCGGGGGAGCAGTGTGTGTGGACGGTGCAATGCTCCAGTGCATCCCAATTGGCACCTGGTGGATTCGAACCTGTGACCTTCCGGACACAAGTCCACTTTTCTAACCACCACCACCACTGCCCTGTTTTTAACACAGCTGAAGGATTATTTAAAAAAGAAAATCCCTAAACGGTACTGTACGTATATCTTGTGTGTAATTCTATAATTTTACATATTTGATTTATGAATGTACGTATAATATATATAAAAATATACTTGTACTCATTTGGACATCATTGGCCCATGAACCAAAATGAGTTTGATACCTGTGGTCCATATCATTATTTCCTAAGGACTGGGTCGCGACCCTCAGGAGGGTCGCAAGAGTTTTTTATTTTTTGTTTGTTTATGAAATGTACATATATTTATATATATATGTATATATATGTATATATATGTATAAGTACATATATTAAATACATTTAGGTTTTTATATACTTATGTGTATGTACATATGTATATGTATATATATATTTGCATATATATATATATTTATATATATATATATATTTGTCCTGCTTGTAACATTTTTTTTTTATTGTTATTTAAGGGCGATACACAGGTGAAACTGAGTGAAGCTTCTCCGTGCGACTGCTGGAATGATACCGCCTTTGTCACACACAAAGAGCATTTCTACTTTT